GCGTAGTGTGCTCCCCGAACTCACTTCATTGGAAGTGTGCTCTTCAGGCAGGGCTGGGGATTGAGCTCAGGATCACTGGGTTCTCCTCCAGCGCGAGCTTTCTCTCCACATACTTCGATCAGGTGGGCGCTAGCCCACTCGGCCACCAATACCCCTTAATAAAGACACGTTAAAAAAATTTGACGTTTACAATTCTCTGTAATGCCGAATTGGAGCGCGGCTCTTGAGGAGGAGGGAGGAAGGGTACGAAGGGGAGGGTATACCAGCTCCTCTCCCTCTGTACCCTCCCACCCTCCTCTCCTGTTCCCATCCCGCTTAGCGTAAAAATTTCGCTAAATTTCCCGCTAAATTTAGCCGGGAAAATTTCCCGCTGAATTGACATGTATGTCACATGGCACGTCATCTGAAATTTTAAGTGTGACGTCGCGTGACGTCACACGGGTAAAAGTTTTCCTCTAAATTTAGCGGAAAAAGTTTCCGCCAAACTTAGCGAAATCTTTTACCGCAAAATTTAGCGGGAAAATTTTACCCTCATGACGTCACACGTGACGACACACGTGACGACACACGTGACGTCACGTGTGACGTAATTTTGGGAACAGTCCTTAATGCAACGCGCGGTTACGCCGACGCCGCTCAACCCAGAAACGGGTGCCTAGGGGCTGTGCTCTAAAAAAACGCTACACTAATGAACGATTTTTATGCCAATTGGATGATTCTGATCGATCATCGCAAGCCAAGATAAAGAACGAAGCATATCCAACTTCGGTGTTCCGCTTCGTTCTACGGAAGTCTACGAGGAGGCCTTGACACTGCCTAATCAGATCATAATTATCGTGTTGTCTCGAATAGTTACATGCTGAAACAAAAGTAGGTTCTATCATTCTCTGCTAACCAAGATAGCAATGAATGACTGACTTTGTCGTCGTCTTTTATCAATTCAGCGCTCCGGTAATCTTGATTCAGATCAGCCTAAACTCCAAGTCCACCCCACTATTCTTTTTTTGCAATGCCACTCTTCTACATGTCGTATCTTTCACGAATTTATTTTTCTTTATAAAATAAAACTTACGCCACGCTTTTGGTTTTTGTGTTGTTATGTTTTACTGTGGAAACACTCCTTTTGATGCCACGCACTCGATCGAGCGAAGTGAGTTCGTCAAACTCACTCCAAGCCAAGTGTGTTCCTCAGGAAGGAGCCGTGTGGCACACTACAGAAATGACACTAAGGGCAAAATGCACTCGCTTGTAGTGACACTAAACTAGCCCGTCTGACAGGGGTATAATTTACAAATATGTCTGTTTTCACTGGAGCGGAATTACAGGTTTTTTAATTTATGATGGTGTTATATACAGTTCTTACATGCTGGCCAACCATACTGCCGGTGTACCACCCGCCTTTCACTGCTCACTTCTTCCTTGTCCTTTCTAGGACTTAAATTCGTCGTCCTCTTTCGAACTTGGAAGAAAATTTTAATGAGGCTAATGTGTGCTATGAATACCCGGCCGAATGAGCCAAGGCAATCCACTTTCCAAAGACGTTATCATGGCGACAATTATCACGTTCATTTAGGCTTAGAATGGCCAAAATCGAAAAACTATCTAAAAAATGCGGCGAGGTCATTGCTCATGCTTTGTGATTCAAGTGAGGTAAGGCAAAGCGAAAGCCTCCTGCACCATTCATTGCTGACTAACGCGCCCGATATTGCAGCTACAACGACATATTTGTTCCAGAAGCGAGCGGCGCTCACTCACCGGGGCACCGCCCATGTTTCCCCGCATCCTTACCAAGCCAGTCACGTGATTTCAAAATCCCTCTCCTAGGTACTGCGGCTAACTTTAGCCGCGGTTAGCGCTTCGAGCAAACGGGCCCAGGCGCCTTCGCTAATCGTTTAATTGGTTTTGAAATTTCTTTTTGTGTCTTTTTCAACAATAGATTGGTTTGTCCGATGTAATACAGCTTCCATGAGCACGTATAGACCAAGGAATAAGCGCCGAAATTTCGTTGCATTATTTTTTAAAAGTACACGAACACTTTTATTTATATGTTTTGCCAGGTGATTTCTTGCTGGGTTAGAAGGACTATCCAATCCATATGTTACTACTGCATGAGGTATATTTTTAGGCAGTAAACAAACACGACTGCTTGAAACTAAAACCGCAACTAGGCTGGGGAGGAAGAAGAAATACAGGGGAGCAGAGAGTTGCCGGAAGTCACGTGGCTGGGCAACTGTTTTTTGTTGTTGTTGATTTTTACAGCGGAGCTGTTAACGGCTAGTTTACCCAGGATCGTGTCCGGTACCGAACAAATGTCAGCATCCGTAATCGACACAACACCCTGGTTGTCGCCGTCGTTCATAGTTGGCGATAGCTGTCTAGAGGGTTGTGTTTGCCGTTTGTCTGCTTGCCGCCGTCGCTCATAGATCACGGCAACCTTTCCAGCCTCGGCAACCAGGCAACTAGTTGTTGCCGTCGCTCATAGATTGCGGCAATATTTCTTCGGAGGAAGAAGAGCGGAAACTAATCAGCGGCGATGTGCGCAGCAGCGCGAATGGCTCCGCAACCGCCGCGAGGCCGCTATCGCCTAAAGTTCCACTGCGTCGAGCGCGTCAGATTCCCTTGCGAGCAGACCGAGCAGATCGCTCGCTTGGAAAGCCACCGCCGAGAACAGAAGCCTCAGCTCCGCTGCTCTTCCTCCTTCACCAAAATGGAAAGGCTGAAAGTTTTTTTTTCATTCAGCGTATTTGCAGTTTTTTGAAAAAAAAAACATGTATCATATTTTTTTCTAATAATAACAGTAATTGGGGTTGCGGAGATATTTAGACAGCGTGTAGTTGGTCAACCATTTCAAATGCGACGAGCCACTCGCTGTAGATGAGCAATTTAGCCAGTGCAGTACAACTGCTAGCCTGAGTTTTTCTTACGTGCACCATATATATATATATATTTTTTTTTTATTGAGTGTGTGCTTTGGATGACCCACGACTTTGATTGTATTTGGCGGTTGTGTCTAAACCATAGAGAACGGCACGTGACCACGGAGGAGAGAAGGACCACGACTCAAACTGGCCATTTTTCGATCGGCGGTTTTCGGGCGGAAAGAAAATGAATTTCGAGCCGCAAATTCTAATGAAAACCTTGGCGAGCATAAACACCATGCCAGGGTCCCTTTAAACACGCCCAAGATTAGAGCCGCCACTGTTGACCTTCTCTTGTATTACCAAGATACTGAGCCATTGAAACGGCCGTTGAAGAGGCTCCAATGCTGGGCAGAAAGACACAGTAAAATCTAAGATGGAAATAATCTGTCTTGGTATGGTAATAATGAAGTGAAATAAACGGAATAAAAAAAAAAAAAAAAAAGAAGGTCGGTTACGGTGGAGCGCATGCTCAGCTGCTTAAAGGCGTTTATGCTTTTTTATGTGGCTGCCATTGACTCCGTAAGTGATGACGTCACAACCTGGCGTCTGGGTCCAAACAAACCGTTGCTAGGGGCGTTGCTATGGACTAATGCATGGAGACTCCACACGAGGCAAGATTTTCGCTTATAAGTAACTAAATCATTTTTTGTAAGCAACCTAACTTCTTGATATCTAATTATGAAGATGTTCTTGTCATCTCAGCGTCGTATTGCAACGATGAAAGCCATTTCTGAAGTATTCTACTCCGCTTTGCTTTGGTAGCAGACGACACGATAGATTTGCTGCCCTCTGTTGCAGCGGGCGTCTTCATTGAATTGCGTCGGTAAACGAGCAACACATGCAAGTGCATCGCCATGGCCGCAGAGGCCTCCGCAATGTGCGTTTTTTTCTGTGAAGAAGCCAGCTTTGTTCAGAGGGGCGAAAATTCCGTAAAATCAAACCACGTCATGCAGATCAGTTACGACGACGACCTGAAGTGCATTACCGGCGTAGTGAAGGCCAGCATGAGAAACAAATCGTACGCCGTCGAGGTAAGTCGTTTGTTATTATTATTATTGAGGTTGTCAGGTTATTAAAATATTGCATGTCTATCGCAAATTCGCAATTTCGCAATTTTTTTTTTGCTCTTTTGGTGAAGATTTTCGTCGAACCCGCAATGAGAGTACAATCTGTAATAAACTCACCTTATGTTTTTATCCAGTTCTTTCACGTTTTGGGGTTTTGCGGAAATCTGAAGAAACTGCAAGAATCTTTCTCCACGCGATGGTTACAACCAGGTACGAAGCACTCTCCCATAGCGCGAGTCCGCAAACAAAATATCGGATCTCTACCGATCACCTGAAATGCTTTTCCCACGGGTGCATTGCGGTCTTTTAGCAGACAATCATCTCGATTGACTCCCGGACTTTAGATGAACCATATTTTGCATCGCACCACACTATGAATTCTTTTAAGTTACTGAAAATGATTATATTTCCAAGAGATGCAATATCAGAATATCGTTTTTATTTACCCGATTCAGACGCCGGCGCCGGCTTGGTCGGCGGCCGTGTGGCAGAAGGCATTCTTCTTGCATTCGTCGTCTGCTGCAGGCATCTTGAGGACCGGAAGTTGCAGTCGTAAATATTTAAGAAACAAGCGATTACCGGCACACTTCTGTCGAAACATATATGACATTCAAGCTTTCTATATCTGCAATTTTTATAAGTTTAAATCCTACTCCCGATTTTTGAACGGTCGGGTTTTCGTAGCGAAACCTGGCCTCATGTATTTGTCCATAACAACGACCCTAGCAACGGTTTGTTTGGACCCATGACGTCACACTTACGGAGTCAATTGCGCAGAGGGAAAAAAATAATTATTATAATGTAATTAAATGCAAAGGTGCGAGCGAGCTGGACAAGAATGACGAAAATAATCCCCGTAGAAGGGGATTATTCTCGTCATTCTTGTCCAGCTCGCTTGCACTTTTGCGTTCAATTGCATTATAATCATAACCTTAAAATGCAAGCCTTTCACCCTTGTTGGTGTTACACTGGTGGCAGCTGATAAAACCTGTTTGCTCTGCTGACGTCTAACCCCTGGTTAGCTCAGTTGGTATAGAGCGCTCCACTTGAAATGGAGGTCCCGGGTTCGATACTCGGACCAGGCGGATTTTTTCGGTCGCGCACCAGTCCCCTAGCTGTGTTTGGAGCTTTGTGTTTGTTCTTTGTCCCTCCTGTTCCCCTTCTCCAGGGTTTATTTTCAGAAAAAGCAACGCGTGTTTCGTAGCTTAGATGGTCGTCAAAGATTTATTCTGAGCGGTATCATCTGAAAGTACGATACTTGTTGAGTCGCTTTAAAACGACCCAAAATAAGCAACCCTCGGTTGTAAGTTGTCTTCGCAAAAACTTTATTTAGATTGTATACGCGTTCCGCCTGCAACAGTCGTCAGGATTGTCGGAACACGTCGTGCAGCGCCTGCAATTGTGGGAACTTGAAACCGTGACAGACCCCGTCCACGTCGTCGTACTCGAGGTCGAAGATGCCGATGGCCCGGATGTCCCGATGCGCCCTGATGAACTGAGTGGACTCCTCGCCCAAACCGGAGAACCACCTGTAGCCGCCGTCCGAGATGACCTGGCAATCCGTCAGGTAGTCCCGGTACGTCTTGCGGTGTGACCTGCCGATAAGAAAGTCAGTCGCCATTTAACTCCGCTTCCCTTCATCTAAACGACGTTGATTTCTATTCCCCATAAGCTTTGGAAGTCTTCAAATCACGAGACCTAATCTAGGCTGTCTGCGCGTTTCGCATTTTTTGCTCAATTTTAGAGCCCAGCTCTTGAGCGCGATACACATTCGCGTTTAAACTCTGATCCGACGTGCTTACTGTCAGAACGATGGCTGCTCCAACTCGCGGCACTAAAGAGTTCGAGACACGTATGCATCCGACGCGTCATGGCGTCGTTCCGTTCAGCTTCGTCCAGTTTCAGGTATCTTTCTGCCGGATCGATGGATGAATGGTAATGGCTGTATATATAACGGGCTGTAGCTCGCGCCACCTAGCTAAGAAACCTGAAATACTCCCCTCGCTCATCGTGTTTTTTCTGACTTTAAAACAAACACAACATTTTTATGCTATTCCATTGAAGTGTGCGTGTCTGAACATTTTCCGTGAGGTTACTTTTCTGCTCAAGATCCCTTAATCACGATGGGCTACAGCGGGCCTCAAGAGCCATCCCAGCGAAGCAAGCACTGCGTACAAATCACGTGATACGCAACCCGCACATTGCTGCGTCTCTCCCGAAGTTCATGTGACGCTCACACGGGGCTCACACGGCATTGGTATGGCTCGTAGCGTCCGCTAGTGTCCACCGTAAGGTGAAGCGGAGTAGATTCGGGTTTCGACAATCTCGATCAGTTTCAGAAGACCGGCTTGCTATGGCGCCCGAAATCAGCAACTGGTCTTGTGCGCGCGGGAGAACTCGACGGCGTCTGTTTCCTTCACAACGACGACTCGCGTGCAGCCTGCGTGACGCACCGCGCACTGCCACGTCCGCTTCCCCGGGCCACGTAGCACCTCCTCTCTCACTCGGTTCAAAAGTCACGTGACAAAATGACGCTCACGCCATCCGTACTGCCATTGGCTGCAGCCCTTCGAAAATCGGACAGCAGTGCGGCGAATATCTGGCGAGTTGGTCGCATGCCGGTGCCGGACGGAGCCCCCGTCCGACGATCCGGTGCGACGAAAACCCTCGCCTCCGAACTTCGTTCCGGCAGCTTGCGCGTCGAATCGGACAGTTTTGACGTGCACGAGTCTCGCGCTTAAGCGCCCGTTTCCGGCTTGAGCGGCGTCGACGTAATTTAGCGGAAATATTTCCCCGTTAAATTTAGCGGGAAAATGTCCCTACTAAATTTAGCGAAAAATTTCCTCGCTAAAGTGAGTGAAAAAATTCCCCAGCTCAATTTAGCGGAAAAAATCACACGTTAAGTTTAGCGTAGAAATTTCCCCCGCTAAATTTGGAGGAGAAATCTCCCTGCTAGGTTCAGCGAAAAAATTTCCCCGCTAAGTTTAGCGGCAAAAATTCCACTCTAAATTAAAAAAAAAAAAAATTCCCCGTTAAGTTTAGGGAAACAATTTATTACCTAAAAAAATTCCCCGTTATGCTTAGCAAAAAAATTTCCCCGATAAATTTAGCGGGAAATTTAGCGAAAATTTTCCGCTAAATGGGAGGGGAGCAGAAGAGAAGGAGGGAAGGGGAAGGAGGGGCGTACCCTCCCCTCCTCCTCTTCAAGAGCTGCGCTCTAATTCGGCACTACAGAGAATTGAAAACGTGTTTAATTTTTTAAGCCCTGTCTTCGCTAGTGGATTCTCAGTGGAAACTTGTACTCCTCGTCGGTTAGATGACTTGGTGGTCTGAGTGCAACTCACAGAAGCGTCGTGAAAGCTCGTTTCCAGTTATAGTCCTCACGGCAGTGACGGACAAAAAAATAGAGGCCAATGTGGATTCTTCCTTTTATTTGTCGGGTCATTTCTATGGCCTTTCTGTCTTGGTCATTCAGCAGGTGAGAACCTGATCTGCACATCTGATCGGGAACACAGACATCGCCAAGAGAGCGAGCTCTCACCCCTGGAAGCTGTTTCACTGCGCGACTAAGTGCACTCAAAATGAGGATCTTCCGAAGATATCAGAAGGACTGAAAGAGAACCCATCAAAACGCGAGTTCCCTCACCATATTATTAATTGTGCATTGTCATCACCACAATTACTGTTAGTAGTCCCAACTTTGACGTCTCTATTTTAAAATTCCTTTGCGTTTTCATGTATATCATGATTAGTGTCTTGTGTCGCAACTATTTCTTATAAACATTATCAGATCTACCATATTAATTACTCTTCTGCCATGTGTGAATATGTCAAAGTTCTTATGCGCTTTGGTTTCTCCCAGGAGTGGCTTCTAGATCAGTTATTATAATGTCATAATTAGCGACTTTTCTTAATATGTGTATTTATCCACCTTACATATTTTTCTCAGGTTTAAATTTGCAAAGTTAAGTTATAATTTAGGTCAATTTATTTGCTATTTGCTCATTTATATAGATATATTTTCCGGCCCTCCAAATTGTGACAGATCCCTAATCCGTCTCCTAGTCAAACGTTTTGGAGACCAGCTCTTAAGCCTTTTGATGGCAAAAATGTAATCAAGGGGTTTGTGTGTCGCCGCTTTTTACTGGTTAGTTGTTATGTTCATTCCATAGAAACTGAACAAAACCAAGATAAAATTATGAGGTGATCGAATAACCAATTTTCAACTGCCATTGACTTTCGAAAGTGCTGGTGACCGATGAGATACATTCGCTTGAACACCATTATTAACTGAAACAGCATTTGAGCCCCCAGATAGTGTTAAATTTTGGAAAAGGTCCATTGAGATGGTATAAGAATGCTGCGAAATATTCTTCCCTTTACAATGCTGCATCGGATCGCTACACAAGCCACGTGCGAAATGCGAACGTGAAAGAAAAAAAAACAAAAAAAAAAAACAGCACAAAATAAACGAGGTACAAGAACGAGAAGTAAACAGACACAGCACTGTGCTTCTTGTGCCTTGTTTATATTGCATTTTTTCCCCCTATTAGACATGCACCAACTAGCCCAACTATATTGTCACGAATGAACAAATGAAAGAAAGAACAACTGGGGAAACTGAAACGTTTAATGTGGGCGAACTGGTGCCTAAAAATAAAAAGGGAGCAAAAGATAACTGCAGAGCGTCGCGGTCGGCGAAAGAGCAGAGTCGAAAGCTTGGGCGAAACTGACCCTCGCTTGCTACGCGAAGCCCCATGAACACGAGTGAGCTTTTGGAATAGTCGGCGTAGAATGTTCGAAGCGTAGAACATTCGGACCTCGAACAAGCAACAGGGTTCTCGAATTTACCACAAAACTAAATTGCAGGAATAACGAACGATGCGTCGCTCCCAGGAATCGAACCCTGTCTTTTCATGTGGGACGCAGGCGCGATAACCCTTAGGCCACGCGCGCGCTGCCTACTTGGGCAGCTGCGCGCGCGGCAATATACCAAGCTACGAACTTCGACTAACCTATGATGTGTCCGGGGAAACTATACGGCGCGGAAACTTTGGAGTCGGAGCCTCGTAGCCTAGAGCCAGGGGCATTTCGATTTCGACCCTTCGTCGCTGTATGAGAAGACTGAGGTCTTTGGTAAGCTCGCCAATTCTGTGCATGTGTACGGGGAAAACTACGAAGTGTTTTTTCGCTAAAGACGCGGAAACGACACAAGGACAATGAGACAAGGGACGAAAACAGGGCCCTGTTTGGTCCCCTTTCTTGTTGTCCTCGTGTGGTTTCCGCGCTTTGAACGCGCGTTTTGTCTTGTCGAAACTCAATTGTTATTTTGATTTCTTTCTTTTTTTTCTTTTAAGCTCGTCGGCCTAGCATTTTCCGCCGCAGGAAACAGCGAGTCTGTCGATCACTGCGAAGCAGCTTCAACAATATGACATAATTCATTCTTTCTGTCCCGCACTTGAACCTGTGTATGTTTTCTTTTTCTTCTCATTTACGAGTTAAAGTTAAACTATTTTATATAAAATGTTTAGAACAAACGTTCTTAATCGTTGCTTTGTAGTATACACGTATGAGCAGAATGAAGCATTGAAGCGCGAAATTGACAAAGAACTGCCTCCATCAGTTAAGTGGGTAGCACTTACCCCAGGTCTATGGTGCATGCGTTGTTGTACGTAACAAGTCCCAGGTAGTGAGCCTTGGCTCCCGCCGTCCTGTTGTATACGTCGTACTGACTATAGTACGTCCAGGCGAGCGAAAACGAGAAGCCCATTTCTTTGCTCATGCTCTTCCAGGAGAGCCCGTATTGCTTCTGGAGGCCCTCGTACATGCTTTCCAGAGACACGTTGAACCCAAAGGACATGGCGCCCGCAAATTGGGTGGGCGTCAGACAGCTCAAGAACCCCATGTGCGGCTTGTCGACGTCCGTCACATGACTCAGCGCTATAGGTATAACGCTGCCGTGCATGAAATCGCTTGGATAGTACATGGAGTACACGGCAATCGGCCTCGGCGGCAGCAGGATCACGATCGAGTAATCGCCTTTATCCTCCAGCCTTCGTCGCAGCGTGTCGGTGAAATTGACGAG